TCAGAGTACTATAGTTTTACTGTTTAAGTCTTCTATGTCCTTGATTAAATTAATTCCTAAGTATTTGATTCTTGATGCTATTGTGAACAGCCTTCCCCCCACCCAATTTCTTTCACACTGAGTTCATTCTTAATATGTAGAAACTCTATTAGTTTTTGTGTGTTGACTTTTGTATAATACTAAATCTGGTTATTTTGAGTCTTTTGATGGAATTTTTGGGTCTTCTATGTAACGGATCATATCAATTGCAAATAATGATAATTTGATTTTTTCCTTTCCTATACATAACCTTTTTTATTCATTTCTCTTACCTGATTTTTCAAGCTAACATTTCCAGTACTGTATTGAACATAATTGGTGATGGCAGACGTTCTTGTCTTGTTCCTGATTTTAGAGAGAAAGTGTTTAGCCTTTCCCCACCTGATATGATGTTGGCAGTAGGATTGTCATAAATGACTTTTAGAGTTGAGACAAGGTTATTCTATACCTATTTTCTTCAGAGTATTTATGAATGAATGTTGGATTTTGTCAATTTTTTTCTGCATATATTGAGATCATCATTGAGATTATCTTGTGATTTTTGGTCTTGCTTCTGTTTATTTAATGTGTTACATTTATTGATTTGCATATGTTGAACCATCTTTGCCTCCTGAGATGAATCCTACTTGGTCATGATATATGATCTTTTTGATACTTGTTGCATTCTGTTGACCAGTATCATATTGAGGGTTGTTGTGTCTACGCTCATTAACAATATTGGGTTATAGTTTCTTTTTCTGGTTGGCTTCTTGTCTGGTTTTGAATCAGAGTAATGCAAACTTCCAGGGATGACTTTGGGAGTACTGTGCTCCTTTTAATTTCTTTACTGAGTCTGAGGCATATTCACATCAGATCTTCCCTGAAGTTCTTGTAGAATTATGTCTTGGACTTTTAATATTATGTGGTTTCTTTTGTTTCACATAGTGGGTTTAAAGCTCGGACCTCTTGGTAGATTTTTTTTTTTTTTTTTTTTGTGGAACTGAGGATTGAACTCAGCCCCTTGAGCTTGCCAGGGAAGTGCTTATTCCACTGAGCCATCTCCCCAGCCCCTGTGTGGCTTTTATGGCATCTCAAGTTTATATACTGAGAAGACAGTATGTAGAACCCATTTCTTAGCAAAACTTTAGAGTTTTATTAGGGTAATTGAGCAACAGGTAGTCTATACTGGCTGAAAAACTCTGGGAGATGAGGGAGGAAGGTGAACAGATTTATTTTCTTTTCAGGAAAGTGTTCATTTAAATGGACTCTGAAAATTCTATTAAAATTACTACTGATAAGTTACAGTGTATGGTTGATCAATATTCCTTTTTTGACATGGAGATTCCTTGATAAGTCTTTGAATCATCAAAGCCAAACATCCCCATAATTTTAGTTTCTTCTAGATCTTCCTGCATATGTGGGGCATTCTGTTGCCTTTCCATGGGACATGAACCTCATTCTGCACCTCTATCCCAGATTGCTATCTCACCTTTCTTCCTCTATCTTGTCTCAGGCTGATGCCCACCTGGCATGCCTAGTTACCAGCCCAGAATCTTAGCTGCCCACTGCCTGAAGAGTGAGTTCTCCAGTGCTTATTGTTCACCATTCTCTGTTTTACATGTTATACCCTTAGAAACTCAACTCCCTGCAAGTTCTCCACAAGGCTGACATCCTTATTTCCCTTGTCTTGCACACTCTAACTGTTTAGTTATTACTTAATAAATTCTCTGTAGTAAGAAAGATCTTTCCACCTTCTACACATGACAGACTTCTCAGCTGTGCTTGCCTTGCAATTCTGGTTTCTAGAGCGAAGTAGAAATATGATTGCTAGTGTAGGCTTTGTCAACAGATGCAGATGACCAATTGACAGTAACACTTCAGCTCCTTATGCCACCATTCACCAGCAAGTCAATTTAGATGGTACAGATTAACATCACCTGGTCCATAAAGCAAGCATCTTCAAAAGTTCCTCTGTATGATACGATACACACAATTAAAGGCATTTTTTTGAGCTTAAATATTGTAAGGTTTCTCTTGTATGAGAAACCCAAACTATAAATAAAGAGCAAAACAAAAGATAGACAATAGAAAGTAGGTAGATCTTTCTCAAATGATAAAGGAAACAAGAGATGGAGGAAAGGAGAGGGAAAGATGATGAAAAAAAGAAATGAAGAAAAAGATGGAAACAGAGCTTTTATAAATAGGTGTGGGACCAAGAGGGAGAAGGAGCAGGGAAGGATGAGAAGAGTAGGAGACAAGAAGATTAGGATGTGTTATGTATGCACACCAACTCCCTATGATACACATAATCATTATGTACTGCAAACATGTACTAATAAGAATAAATAAAGGCATACATCTAATTGATATAGGGGGAAGAAATTCCTAACATGCTAGAGGTCTGGTATGAGTTAGTGTTCTCTAAAATCAAAGAATGAATTTTAGAAACAATGGAAATTAACAGCAGAATATATTTATTGGTGAAAGAAAGCCTCTCTGAGAGATAGAGTGGTCCCAAGTGGGTTGCCAAGGGCCCTCCCTGCCTTTTCTAGGAATTTTTTTTTTTTTTTTTTATAAAACCATGAGTTGAGGAGGGCCCAAGGGGTTGGGGAGAATGGGAAATCATGAGGTGGGCTTGCAGTAGGACAAAGCTATCATCAACCAATAAGATTGCAAGTATATTCACTTAGGTAAAATTGATTAAATTAGAATCAGATGGAAAAGCAAGTCACATAGCAAGCAGGCATGAAACAGAACAGGAGCTTTTCCTAGAGGGGTTGACTCATTGGTTCTTCTTGGATTTTTCAAGTTGACTGATACCTATTTATCAATCTCTGATGTTTACCATTAGTAGAAGTTTGTGGTTATGTTTGTTTCACCTTTTGTCCTGAGGTCTGACCCTCAGCAGATGTATCTGTGTCTCCCCCACAGTTGCAGTGTTTCTTGTCTTCTATACTGGCCTCTTTCTTGGAGGGATTAGCCCTGTCTGATTACCTATAATATTTGTACCTAAATTCTCTGTCTTTAACATAGTTATGAGCTAAAGAAAAAGGAGGCATTTTGGAATGCATTTGCCTTTGCTATACTTATACTTGTTCACTCAGCTCTGAATTTTCTTTTTTAATTTCTTACTTTGTCTTATATCATTAACCTACTTAATTATATTTTAACACTTTGAGTTACTGAGTTCTAATTTCTTCAACTTCAAAATCTTTGAAAAGACTCAGAAAGATTTTGCTCATGGTGAGAAAGATATGGGATTTCAGATTTCGATGTTACACAATGGATTGGCAGTTTTCTCTGCACAGAGCCAGACTATAAATATTTTTGGGGGCCGGGGAGATGGCTCAGTGGAATAAAGCACTTCCCTGGCAAGCGCAAGGGCCTGTGTTCAATCCCTGGTTCCGAAAAAAAAAAAAAAAGATTTATGAACCATCTGATTATTGTTACAGACACTCAACTCTACAATTATAGCATCTAAAGCAACCATAATCAATAAGCAAACAACAGAGTACAGCAAGATCCCAGTAGAACATTCTCTGCAAAAACAGGCAGTGCAGGGCCACAGTTTGCCAGCTCCCTGGGTAACTTGGACACTTATTTCAGAGAAAAGAGATTTTGTCAGATGCGGTTTCAAGCACAGAGACATTTTCCAACTGGGGAAACGGCCATGCAGTAGGTAGCTCAAAGGCTGCTGAAGCCACACTGTGCCATGAGACTTGTCATGAACTGGAAGAATGAAAGCTTCATTTGCTTTTCTTGCAGTGCTCACAGCTAAGCACAGTAAGATCTATTGCCCAGGTGAACCTGAAATTTCTCTCTGATTTCTGGCACCAAATGAGAACTCTAAAACTGTTTGCAAGCTCTTTGTCAGCAGTATAACTTTTAGGAAATATCCCACAGTAAGAACCCCAGAAAATGAAATCAGGATGCTCAATGACATTTATGACAGAAATATTAATTAACATAAAAATTAGAGTAATCAGTTTGGAAGTGGAACAGTAGAATAGACAATTTCTATAGAATCATTTAATCAGTGATTGTGTAGGATATGATTCTTGGAAATGTGCACATTGAAAATTCCAAGTGAGAAAAGGCCTGTACAAATTTATGTTTACATTGTCTTACATGATCAAAAATCAGCATATATAAATCTTTTTTTTTTTTTTTTTTTTTTTTTTTTTGGACTCGGGGATTGAACTCAGGCCCTTACACTTTCCAGGCAAGCACCCCGGCCCCAGCATGTATAAATCTTGGAGTGTCCATGCACACCAAGGAGCCAGAGACTGAGGGTAGTAAGTAAAGAAAAGAGCAGCAGTAGCAGGAATGTACAGAAGATGGAACACATCTCACTTTTAGGCCCTTGTGAGGTGTTGTATTTTATTGTGAAGAATGGAAAGGTACTGGATAATTTCGAGGCTTGGGAAGATGGTTAGGTTTGTGTTCATGCTGCTAAAAATACACAGAAGATGCAGGGAAGATTTTAGGAGTGAGTGACAACAACCCAGGTAAGAGACAATAAGCATCTCACTGGGCCTGTGAGGACACTGGGAAAGACAGGTGTGGTGGCATCAGTGTCTCCACACCAGAAGCTGCCTGCCTGAAGGAGGAAGAATTTATTCCTTAAGCAATGCTTCACTCTGGTGGACACACAGTTTCAAGTATCCATTGGTGCCTAGTTTAAGTTGATTAAATATTAAAAAACAAAACAACAAATGTGAAACCAAATTTGTCTCCTGGCCCCCTTCTGCTATCACCAATCTTTTCCCTTCTCTGCTTTTTATTTCTGAGTTAGCATGCCAGGGTCTGTTAAGATATTAAGAATGCTTTGGTTTTCATTGACCTACAATAAGTTAAAGTGACAAATAAAGATTCCATTCACTATTCTTTCTATCTCATACTTTTATGAACTAAAAGTGCTAGTATTGCCTTCTATTATTAAAAACTTAAGATTGATTGTAACTGAATGTAATTTTTTTTAGGGAACAACTTAATTCCTTATTGAATACCTATAACATTTTTTATGAGAACCAGAAAAATCTGCATATTTTATGTGGACAGGTAAGCTCTCCAAAGAAATTGAACATGGTTTGATTCATGGGGAGGAGGGGATTCGATAATTTTCCTCTAAAGAAGAATCACAATGAGTTGGAATCTGTAATCCAGCAGCATAAGGATAAGGGAGAAATAGGTGAGTGTTTGCCTTGATTCTGGTTTTCATTTTTAGACTGTATCACAAACTATGAGCCTTGGAACATTTGTGGCTTTCTAAACACTTGAGATTGGAAAGCCTTTTAAAATAATGTTAATGAAATATTTGTTTTCTATTTTAAAAAGAAAGTGTAACTGTTTTAAAGAGCAATTGCATTAGAAATCTGCCATAATATTTTCTTACAAATGCAACAGGATGAAAAAAAATGTTTAAAAATACAACACAATATGTAGAGAGGGATGTTCATTGTGGTATCATTTGTAATGGAGAAATGTGGAGCTATTTTAAGCCTTTATTAATAGTGGATTATTCAAATAAATCATGGTGTATCTGTAATGTGAATAAGTTATATTTCAATTAATATGCATTGTATTGCGGCTGGGGAGATGGCTCAGTGGAATAA